GTAGTAAAACAAAAATTTAAGCTCAATAAAATAGAATTACAAACACCACCAAGGGTATTAGACTTCTAAAATCTCAACCCCCCCAAACTACTGTCTAAAGCAGTGGTTCCTAACCTGAGGGTCCCGACCCCCACAAGGGGGCGCCAAAGCCTCTCAGTGGGTCGCCAGGACCTCTCCACTTTAAGGGGTCAAAACTTAATTTATTACTTGTTTATAGCCTACATTTTGCTCACATTTCTTCTTCATGAGTGAAAAGTTTACTGAAATTAAGACAGGAAATAATTAGTACAGAAAAAGTAAAACACTTTTAAGAACTTTTCCCTCAGCTCTCTGTTTTATTTTCAAGTGTCAAAAGTTCATTAAAGATAGGACTGGTTGATTAATCACAGCCTTTACAGTAAATAATCTAGTATAAATAGTAATATACACATTTAAGTACATTTTGCTCAGTGTATTTTTTATGTGTCAAACGTTTATTGAAAGGAATGATTGATTTGTCAGTGTTTACAAGAAAGAATGTGTTCAGAAAAGTAATACAAACTGTCAAGCACATTATGCTCTGTTTGGTTTTGTTAATGACTTTGTTCTGTACTGGAGCCTACTATTACTGTTATCTATTGAATCAAAGCATATTAAAATGTGCTTGAACAATTTTATCATTTCTTAATAATGTTTGTACTGGAAGAGAGAATGGGAGGGGGTCGTCAAAAATTTTACTGGTAAAAAATGGGGTCCCTTGGGAAAAAGGTTGGGAACCACTGGTCTAAAGTATATAAGACACTGTCCAAAATAGACGATAGAATAGTAATCCTTATTGAAAAATGGGAAGTGGATCTATCAGTCAGCTTTGACCAGAACTTCTGGTCCCAAACTTATTTAAAAACTTTTAAAATGATCAGACACTCCAATTTACACTTAATTCAGTACAAAATTCTACACAGAGTACACTATACAGGTCATCGGATGTTCAAGATGGGGTTTGTGTCATCTGACACCTGTACACACTGCACAAACAACGTTCTTGACAATTACATTCATGCACTGTGGTCCTGTCCACCTGTCCAGGAATTTTGGGGTAGAGTGTGTGAAGAGCTGTAAAAGTCTCTGAAATGTCATATCCCAACCACCCCATCTCTTTGTTTACTGGGAAACCTGGACGATGTCCCGATTGAAACATCTGTGGTTCACATGGTTCTGACTGCCAAATGCAATGCTAAGAAAACTATCTTCTTGAATTGGGAAAATAGAGAAACTCTGCATTAACCAGTATAGAAATCTTTTGTTAGATCACATTACACTTGATATAGCCTCTGCTTCCACTTCAGATCAATCTCTCTGGGCTCCTTTGATCGGTTCCATCACATAGCGAGGGTGGGGGGCCGTTGATGTTGTCCTGCGGGATGGTGTGGGTGGGTGGGGGTGGGGGGGGGGGTGGGGGGGGGGTCTGAGTTTGGAGTATCCGGATGTTCCCTGGAGGTGGTTTCACTGGGGGTGTCTGGGACTGGGGGGCCGTTGCCCCCCTCTGGAGGTGCTTGGGTTGCCTCGGGGGGTGGACTACTGACGGTTGTGAGTGGGGCCCCTTGGGGATCTTGGCGGCAAACATGGGTCACTGCCTGGCAGCTGCATTGCCCCTGGGCGGGTCTGGGTGGGGGCCTGGGGGCTCGGGGTTTGGGGGTGGCCAACCCCGAGTGGGGATCTGGGCGGGGCCTTGGGGGTCGGGTCCTGACGTATGCTGCCGGGAAGAAGGCAGGAACATGCAGCAGTGCCTGGCCCAGGTTCGGGGGCCTCAGGTAGACCTTGGCTCCTCTGCCGTTCCATCACAGGGGAGGGGGAGGTCCAGGAGGGGGAGGACCCAACCTTACCTGGATGTCCCATGTCTTATATACTCTGGAAGTTGTGCAAATGCAGGGATGGGCATAGATATTCTGCTGGGGTGGGGCTGGGTTGGTGCCCTCGGACTCCGTGAGGCTCTGTAATGCTGATGATTTGGGCCCTGGCAGGATGGGCTGGGGTCTCCATGCCCTGGGTGGCAGTTTGACGACAGAGGTGCCTTTTGGGGCCAGTAGGGGAGCTGGCTCCCTGGAAGGCTAAGCCCAACCAGCCATTCCGCCCCATCCCCGCATATTTCTCTCTTCCTGCTCCCTCAAATCATCACACAAACATACACATAAGACCTTGGGTGGTGGACAAGTCAGGGAGTGCGGGTATGGACCCCAATTCCGCATTCCTGTGGCAACCTGCCCCCCAATTTTATTTGCACCTTATACACTTCCACTGACGACATTCCACACAAACACACACTTAGGGCCTTGGGAGTGAGCACATTCAACGGCATTTGGCAGGGGGATATCTCAGCCTCCTCCCGGGTGCCGGTGCCCACTTCTAATTTTAAACCGCACTTAGACACCGAGGGCTGAGGGTGTAAGTGGGGTGGTGCGGTGGCATCAGCTGGCATAGGCCGGATGATGCCTGCACTGCCCACTCACCACAGCCATGGAAAACACCTCATGATCACACAACACTATATTGGAGCAGGCGGAGCGAGACTAGGGGTCTTAGCCACCTCTGTTGTTGCTTGGCTTCCTGGGGCTGGAGGCTAGGAGGGAGATCTGGCCGTCTGGTTGGGGTCTGGGGTGGTGGGTTGCTGTGTTCAGCGTTGGGCGGGGGAGCCTGCTCATCAGCACCCCAGCAGAAAGGGTCAAACTCTGGTTACCGGTGATGGTTGTACCCAATGTGCAGCAGTACCGGGGCCAGAGTGAATAGGGTGTGTATGGGGAGCATGAGTGGGTGTCCGGCGTGCATTTTTGTAAGTCTTGGGTTGTATGTGCATGTGTGAGCATGAGGGAGGGAGTGTGTGACTGTGTTTGTGTATGACTGTATATGTCAGGTGGGGGCCTTTGACTCCTCCTCTCTCCTGGAACTTCTTTTGATTATATAGATCTTCGTCCCCCCTCCCCCTGCCACACCTAGTGTGAGGGGTTGTGCCTTGGTCTGCCTGAGTGTTCATGGCAACCGGGTCTGGGGGTTTAAGATTTTGGCATCTGCCTGATAGATCCCGGTGGCTGCCTGGTGGGGTATGGGTCCCTGGGCTCTGCTGGGTCACCGGCGGAAGGTGGTCTCCCCTGGGTCCCGGGTCGCTGGGTCCCGGGCTCGGCTGGCTAGGGGGTGGGAGGCTGCGGGCGGGCCTGTGGGCTTGCCACTGATGTCTCCCGGACTCTGCCGGCTGCTGGTTGTGGCCCCCCGGGGCGATCCTCTGTGCCTATCGAGGGGGGCGGGGGCCTTTCTGGTTGCAGTCTCCTTGGGGTTCCTGTGTTCTGGGGCAGCGCCTGGATCTCTGAGACTTGAAGCTCCCCCCGTCTCCTGCACATCTTTGGGGGTCAGATCTGTGGTCCCTCACACTCTCTGTTGGACGCTCCTATAGAAAAACCTTACATAAACAAGCGCGTGTACACACACAGGTGCTCACATGGTGCTCTCAAAAGTATGGGCTTGGGCACGTTAAACACAGGTCTTAAGACTATGATGGGCACTTAATGCACTGTGATTTATTATCGTGATTCTTTATTTAAGCAATGTTGATTATATATTTCTTCATCAAGTTGACGCAGTGATAGCTTGATCTTGTTGTATCGTTGTTGTGTCCCATTTTTTTTTTTGCCCTTTGGCTTTTTTTTGTTTTTTTTCTGCAGGTCTAGAAGCAGACTCTTGTTCATTATTGTTTATTTTTGTTGAACCTCCCCCCCCTCCTCTCTCCCCACCTTTTCTTTTCCTTTCTCTTTCACCTCTGTCTCCGTGTCTGTTCGGAATTACAAAGCATTCAAAAACAATTACAATAAAGTTTTAAGTATCAGGCGTGACATTAAAAGCTGACGCTTTGATGCTCCACCTGAGAGTAAATCTGTAAGGCTTGTTACCAGCATTCAGACATCAATTCTGTTTGCTTCACAGCCAGACAGGACACCGTAAAAAAAAAAATCCATCAAGTGGTTCACAAGATATTTTCCAAACTGTCAGAGACAGACACTCACGCACGCACGCACGTACGCACGCACGCACGCACACACACACACACACACACACACACACACACACACTTCACATGAAGTTGGGATTGCTTACAACTCATTAAAGTGGTTTTGTCATACTAAGAATCACAAAAGGATTTATAAAGTGAATATGAAGTTGCCTTGGATGATTTGTTTCATTGTCTTTGTCAGGCATTGTGTCTATGGTAACCACACACACTGTGAACTCGAGCGTGACCATGTCAATGAGCACCAGAATCAATTATTTTAAAGTTCAAGGCAGAATCTGTTGCATCTGTGATGTTGATCCTCCTCGGATGGAGTTTGATTAATAGATGCTTCACAAAACTTTGGAAAGCTTTGAATTTTCCCATGTGTTGTTGTTCACCCCATTACTTTCAGACAAGCACAAACATACACACACATGCACGTATGCACACGCACACAAACAGCCCAGTGAAATTTTTGGGTTTCGGATATAAAAGCAAAATCAAAGACCAAACTTCAGTAAACACTACTTTCCAGTCAAGTGTTTTTAATTTAATGACACCTTTATAAGACGTCTGGTTCAACTCTTGAAAATGTGTGTGTGTGTGTGTGTGTGTGTGTGTGTGTGTGTGTGTGTGTGTGTGTGTGTGTGTGTGTGTGTGTGTGTGTGTGTGTGTGTGTGTGTGTGTGTGTGTGTGTGTGTGAGTGCGTGCTGCAAACACAAACATCCCAGGAGCCTTACTGACGAGTTCTAATCATTAACAGAGGAAGGCAGCAACAGCTCACAGATCACAGGAAATAAAAATTGCTTACAAAGATGACTAATATTGCATCATGATTACTACCCCATCAGTGCCTTTAATGTGTTTTCACTGCAAGGCACATAAGGTTGGAAAAAACTCATTATTGCTTAGTCTTAAGTAGTGGCAGCTAGAACTTTTGCTTGTTTCATGATGTTAAAGGAAGTTCTAGAGCTTATGTACTCACAGTGGGGGCTTTCCTTTGCCCCAGCTCTCAGCAGAAGCTTAGCCATGGGCACATTGTTGGTCATGATGGCTATATCAAGAGGGAGAAGACCTTCGCTGTTTGGAGTATTCAGGTCCAGCTCTTCAAGGCTGTACTGGGATAGAAGCAACTGGACCAAGTCCAATTCTTGGTGTTCAACGGCCTCAAACAATGCTTCATTACTCTGGAACTGGAACACAAAGAAATCCTAAAACACTCTGAATGATTTTAAAGAACTTTACATTAGTCAGTATTGTTACCACAGCTGGTTATCTAGTGGGTTGACTTTTTACATCCAAATTTTCTTGGACTTATTATATTTTCCTCCTTGCTCGCTCTTCTGACTTACAATGGTGGTTTTACGCAGCCTCTCCTTGTCCCCTCCCCGTCCTGACACCACACTGTCCTCCAGAGAAGGGGGATTGGTGCCCACGCGGAACTTTCCAGACAAATTGCGGTACAGCCGGCGAGCCGCACTTGGTGAGGACAGGCTAGTTGACTTGCGGGCTAAGGCCGGCTGGTGGGCTTGGTCGCCTCTCATGGGCTGTGTCATCTTGGCAGAGTCAGCCCTGCAAGAAACATGGAAGAGTGAGAAACATGAGCGATGGATGAAAGGACTGGAATCTGGCCCGAGACCCTGCGGTATAATGGAGGGAGAGGGAAAAATAAGTTAGAGGACCATTTCATGTCTATTTTAAGACTTTACATTTTTAGAAAAGATTGAGTCTTATTGCTTCAGTGAAAGAGTCCCCCACTTCCATCCCATCCAAACACAAAGTCAACAAAGCTGCTCTGTTTCTTCTTGAAACATACAAGTTAATCTTAACCAAGGAACAAAAAACCCACGAGCCACACAAGACATGTGTGTATTATGTCGGAGAGCAGGTTAAAGACTTAGGAGTTTAATGGTATTCACTGATGCTAGTGTCCAACACAGAGGCTGGCTGTCAACAGTGTTTTTGGCCCAGTAAAACAAACCCGTTTCCAATTGCTTCAGAGGGTTAGGGTTAGGATCCCAAACATAGATTAGCCATTTCATCCTAATAAAAAGTAGTCAATATCCTCAGTTTTTGTGTTTTCATCTCATATATAAATAAAAAAAACAACCAAAAAACACAAGGAAAAATGGAATATGAAGTGGCCCACGCATGAAAGGAGCACCAAACACCAAGGATTTATGCCTCAGTGAAAAATTCTACCATTCTACCAGACTGATGCCATTTTTAGATCACATGCAAATAGTTTCATTCACCAAATTTGCCTTGTCATTATTTTACCATTGTTGCTCAGCAAGAAATTCTTCTTCTGCCAAAAGATAATCCTGCTGATGAAACAGAGCATCTTGTTCTGCTATGACAACTATGTTGAACCACAAGTCTGGTGCAAGTGCTCAAACACACTCTACTGCTGAAGGAAATGTCAGCAGGTTTCTACAGGCGACAATGACAAACTCCTTGTTGGGTCTCACAAAAGAGAACTTCAGAGATAAATAAATTCCTTGAGGAGGTGTTTTCAACACATCCAGCTGTGGATTTCTACCAGCTCTCTTTCAAGCTTGTTTTTCCTCTAATCCATACTGTGCATTCAGATAATTTTTCTCTTTATTCTATTGCTACATAACTTTTATCCATTACCTCTTTTCTTTGCCATGTTCTTTGTCTTTTTTCCTCATTTAAACTTAACCCTCTGGAGGGAGGCGTTGCAGATTTGCAACAGTTAAAACCTGTCTACCTGGTTACTCCACATCTGTATTTCATGAGCATTTTTTAACTCAGAAGTACCCCTGAAGGACTTAGTTGTTCATCCTTTTATCAAAAGTTATTTTGAGCATGAGAGAGTTAAATTGGGTTTGAGTTGGATTACAATCAATCCGTCCATCAAACATTAGCATTCAGAGGGTGAAGTGAGCAAATAAAGACATCACTTTGGGTCGTCATGCCACGGCTAAAAGCAGATTTGTCAAGGTGAGAACATCTGTAGGAAAAATGTTATTTATACACCCACTTTATACTCCCGCTTAGAGATGGATGTATGAGACCACATAAGCATGCATCTGCGCCCAAACCCTCCCCCATCAAACGTAGATTGTACAACAGCTGACATTGGCCTACACTGTAGACTTTAAATCAGATCCAAGCCACGGCAACAGGGACTTTTTCACAGACCTGATACACCTAAAATACCCCCATCATTGTCCCTTCCCGCTCTGTTCCATCCATCTCCACTCCATCCCGTAATAGAGGCCTTATTTTAGACATCCTCGTGTTCCCGGCTCGGCCTAACCTATTCCAGGGTTCCAGATAAAGCGTGGCAGGTATTTGGAATAATTTTTCCATGGGCTTGGCCCGGAAGATAAAACAAGAGATATATTTGTAATGCGTGTGCCGGTATCCCATTTCAAAGAGAAAGCCCACTGGAATGCAGCCCCTGGCTTATTGTTATTTGTCTGAGATGGAACAGATGACTTTTTTTCTGTCGACAGAATGGTGCCCCATCACTCTTTGACGACATTAGGCTGTGCATCATGGCGTATGTGTGTGCTTTCAAAGGGATGCTGTAACCTACACGTGAAGTTGGGGTGTCATTTGTCAATGACATAGGCCGTAATACTGAGAAAGATAAAAGAAAAAATATCAATCCAAAGACATACATTCAAAAAAGTCCAGCCTTTGTGATATTACTCCTCAAAGGTTGTCTTCCATCATGGCTGACTTCTCTCTTGTGCAGAGCAAGTTTATTTACACTTTTAGAATATAGAGACAGCTTTAATAATCACCATAAATTGAAAGAAAACAAATATTTCTACCAATGACCTTTGGGTTTCAGTTGAAGTCTAATACTAGTAGCGAAGCACAACAAATCAGCATCAATATTGGTATCGGCCGATGTTAGCAATTTTTAACATATCGGCCAGATAAGTAAAACTGGGCCGATATTAATAACTAATATTTTTTCAGTCTCGTTTCCATTAGTTTATCTTTTTAGAGGGTAAGGGGGTCATGATGTGCAATTGTTTAGTCATGTGACAGTGACTTTTGTATATTCTGTTTGTTAATGCTTTCATATCTGACATATTGTGTTGAAGTATGGGGAAGTACCAGCAAAATATTTACACATTAAACTTTTCTTTTACAGAAAAGAGCCATGAGAGTTATTAGTGGAAGTGGATACAGGGATCATACGGATCCCATGTTTTTACAACTAGACCTAATGACATTTGACAATTTAGTAGAATACCATTGATTAAAAGTTATGTACAAAGCACATTAAGGACGTCTACCAATAAATATTCAAAAGAGATTTGTAAAAAGAGAAAGTAATTATAAATTAAAAGGAATTGATATTGTTTAAAAACCCTAATTCCGAACAGTGATAATGGAAAGATGTATTTCGGTTAAACGTGTCTGTTTATGGATAAGTCTCGACAGTGAAATAAAACAATCTAAATCATTTTCTGTTGTTAAAAAAAGTGTCAAACGTATCTTGATGAAATGATAAGATCTTAAGTAGGCTGATAGACTTGTTTGTGTTGGGGGGTGGGGGTTAGTTGAACGACAGTTTTTGAGTTGAACAGCTAATGTCTGATTTGTAAAGGGGGCAGATAAGTTTTTGCTTCTTTCTGCTCCTTTTCAATTATGATTATTTGTGAACATGAATTGTTTTAATGTAAATTTTGTTTGATTGCATAAAATGAAATAAAAAATGGAAATGATAGTAATCAACTATGAAGTGTAAATGTGTGTGATGTGTGTGTGTGTATATAATAACATATTGCAAATTGCACTTGATGGAATCAATTGCAATTTGCAATATGCTTTTTGCGGATGATGTGGTCCTCCTAGCTTCATCCAGCTCTGACCTTCAGCTCTTGCTGGGTAGGTTCGCGGCCGAATGAGAAGCGGCTGGGATGAGGATCAGCACCTCCAAATCTGAGACCATGGTTCTTGACCGGAAAAGGGTGGCTTGCCAACTTCGGGTCGGGGGAGAGGTCCTACCTCAAGTGGGGGAGTTTAAGTATCTTGGGGTCTTGTTCACGAGTGAGGGTAGGAGGGATCGGGAGATCGACAGGCGGATTGGTTCAGCGTCTGCAGTGATGCGGACGCTGAGTCGATCTGACGTGGTGAAGAGGGAGCTGAGCCAGAAAGCCAGGCTCTCGATTTACCGGTCGATCTACGTCCCAATCGTCACCTATGGTCATGAGCTTTGGGAAATGACCAAAAGAACAAGATCACGGATACAAGCGGCCGAAATGAGTTTCCTCCGTAGGGTGGCCGGGCTCAGCCTTAGAGATAGGGTGAGGAGCTCGGACATTCGGGAGGGACTCGGAGTAGAACCGCTGCTCCTCTGGATCAAAAGAGCCGGTTGAGGTGGTTTGGGCATCTGGTCAGGATGCCTCCTGGACGCCTCCCCAGGGAGGTGTTTCGAGCATGTCCTGCTGGCAGGAGGCCCCCGGGTCGACCCAGAACACGTTGGAGAGGTTACATCTCCAATATGGTCCGGGAACGTCTTGGGGTCCTGCCAGAGGAGCTGGTGGAGAAGGCCGGGGAGAGGACGGTCTGAGCTCCCTAGTTGGGATGCTGCCCCCGCGACCCGGACCCGGATAAGCGGAGGAAGACGAGAGACAAGGGGGAATCAAAGCAAAAAAAAAAAAATTATATGTATATATCTGATTGCATAATTTTCAGTCTATACAAAATTAGCCGACTTCAGAAGCGTCAATGTCAGTGTGTGTGTGTGTGTGTATATATGTATATTAGGGATGTGAATCTTAGAGCAACTCACGATTTGATTCGATTCCCATTCTTGGGGTGCCGATTCGATTCAGAATCGATTCTCGATTTAAATCGATTCACAATCAGTATTAACAAAGAGTGTCAGCTCCAGGATTAACTACTTTGTTGTACAAGTTAGTTAAAGCTATGGGACATTTTTATTTGACTTTAAACTGGTCATGCTCCAAAAATGCAATTTTACAATGTAAAATAAAGTTATTCTAAAACTGTAAACAGAAGCAATCTTCTGACCAAAAGGCAACATTTATTTTTGCTTACCTTGTAAATTATAACAAATCTGTAGTTACCTAACAGTAGCTTTGAAAGTAATATGGTCAAATACTTTTCAAGTATGTGTAGAAACAAGTTGCATGAGTAATCCTGAGTACTCATTTATCAACTTAGAAAATAAATATGAGAATATCTCAAATTTCTGAGTATGGAAAAAATTACAACAAGTGCCCTTTTATCAGCAGATTGAATAAATCATCTCAATTTATGGGACCACAAAAGTAAACGGAGTACTGGCTCTCTTAACAAAGATCAAAAAAGTACATCTCAAACCTGTAGCATGCCAAATATTTGAGTTCTTGGAATCAATTCTGAACCTTTGTGAATCGATTCTGAATCTTTATAAATAAGAATCCTGATTCAGACTTGAATCGATTCTTTTCAGCACCTCTAATATATATATACACACACACACATACATACACATACACACACACACACACACACACACACACACACACACACACACACACACACACACACACACACACACACACACACACACA